TTTTGGTATAAATCTACAAGTACAAATTTTTTATAAATTCGATTCATCTTCATCATTGTTATTCTTGAAGAAGATAATCCAGATTTTGTTGCATACCCGTTACTTTTCAAGTTCAATGGTTGTGCACACATCCAATTTCTGATATTACATAAAAAAATTAGATATATAACATAAAATTTCAGTTAAAAGAAAAGATATTATGCAAGAACACTAATCTTGAAACAATTTTTTCTGCACTTGCAATCCATGACAGATAACTTTTCCAAGCTTCTTTAAATATCATTCTTTTCATGACAAATGCTTTCATTATCAATGGTTGAATTTCATAAGATAGCATCCAAGATATATAGTGGTAGTATTCATGTTCTTATTAGATGTAGGGAGTTTCTTGTGGATTGATGTATTAGAAATATCTTGAACGTTGTTACTTTATGAATGTACGACATAGATTTATTGTAGTAAGTAATTATACCCCTCGGTTTTTTAATCGAGGATAAAATTTATTTCTTTTTTAACTATAAAATAAAATAAAATAGAAATTTCCCCTTAATTTTATAAAAGAACCGAGGTAATACATTACTTATAAAAAATGGTGAATGGTAACAAAAAATTGAAAATAATAAAAGAATATATTCAAACTAAACTATATTCAAAACCCTAAATTAAAAATACTAAAATCAGATTACCTAACTAGTTGTAAATGTCCCTTAAAACCTTTATTGATGAGGGGAAATAAAACATATTTTGGAGATTACATTTACCGCAAAAATCAGAAGTTTTAGAAAGTCGGATGACAAGTCAAAAAATATAAATAAAAAATATATAAATCAGAAGTGTTGTCATTATGATGAATAGTATTGTTTGTACAGTGAATAGTGATTTTGGGTTTTCTGTCTTTTTCGGTTCGGTCTGTGGATCCATGTATAATTGGATTGTAACTTTGGGCTTTGTTTATTGAGTATTTGCTATTATAAATTTGTATCTCTTATATGCTTGTAGGTTTGACAATCTTAGAGTTTACACCAACAAGGGAGAACAAGGGTTTGAAGGCATAGAATAGGATTTTGGCTATTCTCAAGGGAAACATTAGAAAGGCAAGGGTTTTGGAAACCTTTGGAGTTATCTAAGGTTATTGTGAATTGAAAAACACTTGTTTATACTTTGGATTTGAGTTATTCATATATTGAAGATTGAAGAGGTTAGGAAACACTTGGATAGAAAATAGGGTAATTCTTGGGCACCTTCAGGGTTGTTCTTGGAAACCTGAAGGCAAAGGCTATTTTCTTGTAACTCATATGTAATCTCTTATAACAACTTTCTGATTATAGTGAATTGGAGAGTTGCTTTCTCCTCTAGAGTAGATCGTTTGAGCGAACTGGGTAAACAAACTCTCGTCTTTTTCTCGCCTTATTCTATTATATTATTTGTCTACGAATTATTATTGTTGAAGATCATATATTTTGGTTGTTATTATTCTTTGCCTCACAAATTTATTTTGAATTTTGTCATAATTAAAAACAAGATTTACAATAAGTGGTGCAGTGAGCATGGAGCAAAGAGGTATTGAGCACCATGGGCAGGTGGGAGATCGAGAAATTTTCTGGTAACAACGACTTTGGGTTGTGGAAATTTAAGATGCAAGCAATCTTAATTCAAGAGAAGTGTATTATGCTTTGAAGAGTGAAACATTGAGGCTTGTAGCTCTTACACAGGTACAGAAGACTGAGATGATGGATAAGGTCATAAGTGTCATTATCTTGTGCCTCGAGGATAAAGTTCTAAGAGAGGTCTCCAAGGAGAAAACTGCAGTTGCTATGTGGGAAAAACTTGAATCATTGTATGTGACTAAGTCTTTGGCTCACATGTTGTATCTGAAACAACAACTTTATTCATTCTGAATGGTAGAGCACAAATCCATAGTTGAGAAACTTACACAATTTCACAAGATTATTGATGATCTTGAGAATATTGAAGTGAAGATTGAAGATGAGGACAAGGCTTTACTCTTGTTGAGTTTATTACCCAGATGCTTTGAGAACTTTAAGGGTGTCCTTCTTTATGGTAAGGAAGGTACTATTACTTTGGATGAAATCCAGACGACGGTGAAATTCAAAGAATTTTCAAAGTCAAAAAATTTTAAGATTGAAGATAGTGGTAAAAGCTTAAATGTATCAAGAGGAGGAGGTGATCATAAAGGGATGTCCAAATCAAAGAGATCTGACATGTCAAAGGTAAAATGTTTTAATTGTCATAAAATCAGTCACTTTAAAAGGGATTGTCCTAAGAGAAAAAGCATTGACGATTCTTTTCAAGTTGTAGTTACCTTGGGTGAGGAAGGTTATGAGGATACGGATGCACTAGTTATATCGAGTTTGAAAACTGAAAATAGTTGGGTCATTGACTCAGGTTTCTCTTATCACATGTGTTCAAGAATAGAATATTTTGAAACTTTGAAGATGGTTCGAGGTGGAGTTGTTCACCTTGGTGATAATAAGGCTTGCAAGGTTCATGGTATTGGTACGGTCAGACTTAAAATGTTTTATGATCGTGAACTTCTTATTCACAACGTGAGGTATGTTCCAGAACTCAAGCAAAATTTGTTATATATAAGTATGTTTGATGATCTAGGCTATTATACTAGAGTTCAACATGGAGTTTTGAAGATTTCGCATGATGAATTGATTATTGTTAAAGGGTCTAAAATATGTGGTTTAAATGTTGTTATTAATTCGTCGGTAACTAGTGGAGGCTTTAATGACAAGGAAGAACTATGGGATTTGGGTTTAAGGCGTTATAAATGCCTTAAGAAAGTTTCAGAGAATTATAATGAATTTTGCAGAAATCAATGGATAAAAATACATGTTGCCGTTGAGTTGTTATTGAGTTTTTGGGGAAGAGATGAGGTTAAAACAACTTACTTGGTTGGTAGAGAATTTCTTCAAAAGAAGAATAGTGAAAACCAAGGGAGAAAACTAGTAGAAACTATAACAGAGAAAACTCAGTTTGAGGTGGAGTTTCCCACTATGGATGCTAGTAGTAGTGAGGGAATGGTTACAGAGATCTCTAATTATAATTTGACTCATGATAAGGTAATGAGGGTTATTGTAACATCTCAAAGGGACACTTATGCTAGTTTTGAATATTATGTTTTTAATGTGGCTGAAGGACTAAAAAATAAAAGAAGAAAAACCTTCAGGGAGGCATTTGAAAACTGGTGGAGTCAAGGGTCGTTGGAAAATCATACTTGTAGGCTTGTTAAATTACCTAGGCAGAAAAGGGTAATTGAAAACAAGTGGATGCAAGTTGCGAGATCAAGATTCAAGGGTTGCTTGAATTTGATCAAGGTTATTGATTAGAGTTTCAACTTGGTAGAGAGCAGTAATGTTGTTGATTGTTAAATTGGTATCAACACGATTTAAAGTCAAGGTGGAGATTATTGTAAATGTGCCTTAAAACCTTTGTCGATGAAGAGAAAGAAAACATATTTTGGAGATTGTATTTATTGCAAAAATCGGAAGTTTTAGAAAGTCGGACGGAAAGTTAAAAAATAGAAATCAAAGAAAAAAAATCGGTCGGTGAATAGCATCGTACGAATGAATAGTGTTATCCCATACGGATGAACAATGTTGTCAGTATGGTGAATAGTGTTGTTTGTACAGAGAATAGTGATTTCAGATTTTCTGTCTTTTTCAGTTCGGTCCATGGATCCATGTATAATTGGATTGTGATTTTGGACTTTGTTTGTTGGGTATTTGTTATTATAAATATGTATCTCTTATATGCTTGCAGGTGTGACAGTCTTAGAGTTTACACCAACAAGGGAGAATAATATTTTGAAGGCATATCATAGGTTTTTGGCTATTCTCAAGGGAAACATTATAAAGACAAGGGTTTTAGAAACCTTTGGAGTTATCTAAGGTTATTGGGAATTGGGAAACACTTGTTTACACTTTGGGTTTGAGATATTCATATGTCGAAGGTTAATGAGGTTGGGAAATACTTGGGTAGTTCTTGGGCATCTTCAAGGTTGTTCATAAGAACCTAAAGGCGAAGGCTGTTTTCTTGTAACTCATCTATAATCTCATGTAACAACTTTCTGAGTGTAGTGAATTAGAGAGTTACTTTCTCCTCCAGAGTAGATCGTTTGATCGAACTAGGTAAATAAACTTTAATTTTTTCTCTCGCCTTATTCGGTTATATTATTTGTGTATGAATTATTATTGTTGAAGATCATTTATTTTGGTTGCTATTATTCTTTGCCTCACAAATTGATATTGAATTTTTTTCGTAATTAACAACAAGATTCACAACATAATCCTTCGGTTATTATTAAATAAACGGGGGAATTTAATTTATAATTAAATAATAAAATAAAAAGAAAGACATCAATTTAAAAGAAATAAAAATATAAATTACATTTGATGGGTTTCGAAACATGTCTTGAATCACTTTCCCCTCGGTTATATTCAAAAACCGAGGGAATAAATGGTGTTTTTTTTCTTAAAAAATTAAAACTTAATACGTCATGGACTTATACCTCAGTTTTTTGTTGGGTGATCGTCGTCATAAAATATATTATTTATAGTAGTGATACTAGATATCATTCAATCTTATAACACGTAAAATGATCATTAATAATTGGAATTAAGATTTTATATATTGATCGTGTTCCGGTGGCATAAAAACTTTTGCAATTTTAGTTAGTATAAATATTACTATAGAAATTGCGGTTGTCGTGGTATAGATTAATCACAATATATTCTTTATCAAAAAACAGTGAATAACAGTATGAATAACTAACATGTTCAGAGATATCATTTTATAGCAGCTATTTTGTTGTAACAGAATTTTATTTAAAACCTTGAATGGAATGGAGAGAACAAGAGATGTCTTTTAGAGAACAACGTATTATAATTTTATTTATCATAATTGTCTGAATGGACAAATTATGAAACTTATTTATTTAAAAAGTAACAACGATATTCATTTGAAAAGAAGTACTAAACAACAGGGTAAGCAACATATGTAGCCATGTCACAATGACCTGAAGTTCCATCACCTTCTCTTAGCAACCTCATGTATCCATTCTCACCCCATCCTTTATCCCATGAATTCTTAATCAACCAATATTTCTTCCCTTCACTTTCACCGTAACCAATTATCGTTACCGCATGGTTAATAAATTTTCCACATGATCCTGAATATATTCCTTCTTTGTATGCATAAAATTCCCCACCGACTGCGATAAGAGCTCCTATCGGTTGTTGTACCACAGCCTGCAGTAATTGTTCTTCATCATTGGAAGTTACAGATTGCCATTTACTTATCTGAGCTGCTGGTTGTATATTACCATTTATTTGGCAGGTTTGTTTTTTTTCCTGGAATGGATAATCACTTTCTTTAACAATACCATGGTTTTGTATTATATATTCGAAGCCGTATTCCATGTGTCCATCGATGCAACCTCTACTCTTGTAATCACAATCAACCAATTGTTGCTCTGATAATGAAATTAAATTGCCAGTTTTGATTTTGACAATACCTTCTACAGCTGCCACCGCTGCAAAAGCCCAACAACATCCTACAACACAAATATATATGGATTAAATTAATTAAAAACAATTGGCATTACTCAAAAAATTAAGCAAAAGAGTCATTATAATATTACCACAAGTGCCTTGTCTCTTAACATCGGTGACCGCTCCTTGTTGCCTCCAATCAAAGTTTGTTGGAACTTCATCACTCACATTGAATAATTTTGTATTTGATATCATTTTGGAGGAAAAAAGTTGGCTTGGAAGTTTATTTCTAGTATATGTAGCCGTAAACTCTTCAGAAGTTAAATCAGAAAATTGATTGAGGCCAAGCGTGTAACTCTTATTACCCGCGTTATTGAACTTCTCTATGTATTCTAAATTTTCTTTAAATATCTGCAAGCGTTTTTCCATCTCATCATTATTTGTGTATTTGCGTCCATATTTAATCATCCATTGTTGGTGTGCTTCAACAACAGATGATTCATGCAATGTTTTTGACATGGCAGCGTATGGACATGTCCACAAGATCATGACACAAACAATAGTAAGATACATCATTGTTCTTGGTAGCTAGTTATGGAAGATAATGTTTTTCAAAAACTGATTTGAAGAAAATTATTGAAGATATGAATATTTGTAGACTTGACAATTCATGTACCAAAAAAGATTTTTTTCTCTAAATGAATCCATGTTAATATATTATTATTATTATTATTATTATTATTATTATCATTTATAATAGGAAATAAATAAAATGTGTTTTTTAATTAAAAATATAAAACATAAAAATATATATATCTAATTCGGTTTAGTTTGAATCGATTTTGAAAAATCAATTTAAAATTCGAACCGAAGAAATTTTTACAAAATAACATTCAAATATATTTAATAAAATTTGATTTTTTTTAGTCTTTTTTATATATTTTACTATTTTTATTTTAATCGGTTTGAATTTCAACCCTCTTAATTAATAGTTGTAATCATAAACCATACTTTTGCTTTTGCATTTGACCGATGATAACAAAATTTTTATCTATTACTATTTAAAGCTTGAATTTGATAATTTTTCCACAACTTTAAAAAATATAGTGTTATAAAAAGGAACTATTTATTTTTATTTGATTGAGCTTACTATGGTACATTTTAAGAAAATCTCAATTTAATAAATTTATTCTATTAATATATTTTTCTGGGGGAATAAAGTGGATGAAAGCAATCAATTTAAGAATAAAATCTCCAATACAATGAGCTAACAAAAGAAAACCTATTTGAGTAAGAACTTTATCATAAAACATCAAATTACGAATTCTATCGCAATTCATATTAAAACAAACATCTACATAAGAATTCGACTCATGATAAATATAGCACCAACATTCCAAATCTAATTAAAGCAACTCTTGAATTTGCTGTACCATAAAAATTCCAATTTCATAACAATGAATTTTAAATAAAGTAAATAATAAATAAAAGCAGAAAATACATAGAAACATAAAATAAAAAAATTAAACATTAGAAAAATAGAGGAAAAGAAAGGAAAAACATTACAAAAATGAAAAGTAAAAGAGAAAAGTTGACCTAAATGTTAGTGAAAACGGTACACTTTATTCTCCATAATAGTTAATTGATTTTTGCTTTTACACTTAAAGATTTGTATGGGATTAATACTCAATTTACGAATTTTTTTTTAGCAATAATAAGTATTGAAAAAAAATAAACAAATAACTATATTTAGGAGAAAATTAACCAAATAATCATGTTTCAGAAAATCCTACAATAGAGGAGTCAAGTGAGATGGCGTATGCACTCACCTTTTTGCCCTAGGCGTCATCTCACTTGGCGCATGCACTTTGTTTTAGTCAAGTGAAATGGCGCATGCACTATAAAAAGGAGAGGAGGCGCCATCTGAGATGGCTACTACGTACAATTGTGTTTTCTATAAATAAATCACCAATTTCTCCATCATTCTTCACACTTTCTCGCACTGTCTTCTTATTTTTCTCTGTTATTTGCGTCATGATATCTCCCATGATTTTCACCAGAGAGGGATACGTTATTTTCTCGACCACCAAACCTCCGATAAAATGAAATTTTGGCACATTCACTCCATGGAGCGTCTGAAGAGAGAGTTGATGCGATGGCTAGAGGGAGACATCCAGATTGGGGAACAAATTAGAAGGATCCAGAGAAGAAGAAGAACCACCTCACTTGCAACTGGAAGACCTAATTTTTGGTTGGAGGAAGTCAAAATAGACAGAGACGTAATGGTGATGATGCATGGCTCAGATGAAATTGTTTTGACGGTTGTAATTTCTTAGACGTTTTATCGTGTTTTTATTTGTTGTTTGCGTATGGTTTGTTGTAACAAATGCTCTTAATGAAAAAATTAATGTTTAGAAGTTACAAAAGTACAGATGGTTTGCATATGTTGTACCCCAAAATTTTCCCTCTCACTTATCAAGAATTTACTCACAAGATCTCCTTGGGCTCAAGACTGCACTAGGGTTTGATCAGCTCAAGACACCTCCTTAGGCACTGATGACCAAAATTAGAGTTTGAGTTTTCACAAGTATTTTTGAACTATCAATGCTTCATATGACTTTCATGTACCATTATGGACCCCCAAGATTACTCATGTCAAGTTTCAAGCCTTGGATCACACTTTTGATCAGTCAATTGAACAATTGACCTAAAAATCAGTTGTATTGGGGAAAAGTCAACCATGGACAATTTACATTCAAACTTCATAATTTTTTATCCAAACCAACATTTTAAACTCATATGTAGCATTTGATCATGTTTGGACCACAACTCCTCAAGAAATTTGATCAAATCATCAAAAGGGGAAAATGGTCAAAATTAGGGTTTTGACTAGGAAAGGGCAATTTCGTGTTTTTGACCTAGCAATTGATCAATTGGATTAAGGCATGATCTCAAGAGTCCAATTGCATCACTTTGACCTAATTACATGATTCAAAACACTACAAGTCCATTGGATTGACAGATGAATTTTTCAGTCAACTGATCAAAAGTCAATTGTATAATGAAAAGTCAAACTTTAACTTTTTGGTCAAAATCAAATGCCAAGGATCATAATTCATCAAAACATGCCAAAATATGAAACTTGTTCATCAAGAAATCAATAATTCAAGATTTTATTTTGAAAAGATGAAATTTCTTAACTTAGAAATTTTTCTAAGTAAAGAAAATTTCTTATTTTTTCACAAATTTGAGCCAAGTTTTCATCATGATGCAAGATGATTCAAAGGAAACTTCCAACATGAAAGTTGTAGATCTCCATGAAATCTACAACTTTTATTCACACAATTTCTCCTAAAAATGCTTGGATCTCAAGTTATAATTTTGTGAATACATACCCATGAACTAAAAATGACTTAGTAAAATTTTGCCCTAGTTAGGCAGATTTTTGACCTAACTTCATGGCAATTTTTCACATAGTTCCAAGGGGAATCTTCCAAAGAAATTAAAAGATAAGTTGTAGAGCACATTGCAAGCTTTCCAAAATGTCCCAGAACTCCTTGAGATCATTCTTGAGTATGGAGAATTAAAGAGATGAAGTTGGTGTTTATCACTTGGATTACAAGCCATTTTGTGAAGAACATTGGATCCAATCCTCAAGCATGCTGTACAAATCCCACTTTTCAGGATTCTAACTTAACTTTTACTCCATAATTAAATGTTTTCACAGCTGTTGGAAGCTTTAACCCAAGCATTCAATGCATTATACAAATTTAATTCCATTTTGGGAAGAAAGGCAACATTACCATTTTAGAAAAGCAAGCTTTATGCAAAGTCAGCTTGGATTGAGCCTTGCATTTGTTCTTTCTGAAATTCTGGCTGCAGATACTCAATGTCACGTTCAATGTTATGACACCGTATCTGACTTACTATATGACAGTAAATACAAAAGCAATAAAGAACACAGTCAATTGTTTACCCAGTTCAGTGTGCAACAACACCTACTCTGGGGGCTACCAAGCCAGGGAGAGAATCCACTATAAGAGATGTTAATTCAGGAATAAACCAACCAGTTTATCTCCTTCACTTAAGACCTACCCAATGCAATTCTAATCTAAGTACAACTTAAACCTGAGTTCCTACTCACTCCCCCTCAATCACAGCAGTGATACATAAACCAATTTTGACTTAAGAATTGACGAAGACACTCTTCAAAAACACACACTTGATTAAGCTTCAAAGCTTTTTAATCAAGCAACACAATCACTCGTGCTTCACAGCTTTGAGTGATGTACACAACTAACTTGACTCTGCTTCACAGCTTTAGTCAAGGAACATTCAAACACTCTTGCTTCAAAGCTTTGAGTGTTACACAACCCTTACAAATAGAAACCTATTCCAAGGCACTTATCACAGTGATAATTGCTTGGAGTACAAATAAACAAATCTATACAGATTACAAAATGATCTTCTAATCAATCAGCAGGAGTCCTTGAAAAACAGCAGCTCTGTTGAATATATATAGCAGCTGCAACTTCAGTTGGGGTTTCCAAAAACCTAGGGTTAATTCCGTTTGACCTAAAGACCAGGTCACTGGACTTTATTAACCAGGTTAGGGTTGAGCTAGGTTACCCCTCAGAAAACGCAGGATTCTGTTCAGGAAGGACTGAGTTATTTCCTGAAAAAACTCAGACTTATCCAATCCTGCAATCCTGTTAGTTCAGAACAGGATGTCATAACATCTGTTATGACATCTGAGAAAACCTGTCTACTGATTTAGCAAAATGTGATCATTTTGCAAAATGCTCAGATACACACTTATAAACATCAGTATTTGAATTACAATATTTTTCTGCAAATGTACCTAATGAGTTAGTACAACCTGAACTAGAATGTTATGACATCAGTCATGACATTCACACATACACTTGGGATTTACCAGAAATGCAAGCCAATACCTAAACACCTACAAACTCCCCCTTTGGCAGATTTTTGGCTAAAGACCCTAAAACAATCAGAGATAGATAGCAGCAGAAATAAGTGACAGCAGAAAAATAGAACACAGAATGTCAAGTACTAATTAAGCAAGTACCAAAATATTCTCCCCCTCTTTAGCCACAAATGGGCCAAAGATACATGTTCAGAAAATTTTACAGTTATCCAAAACAAAATAATAAGATCAGCAGCAGACAACAACAGAACACACTTCCGAACTCCACCAAACAGCAATCAACCTTCAAGCACTGTCATCAGATTCTGAGGAGCTAGTTTCTTCAATGTTGAGATGTCCTTCACCTTCTTCCCTTCTGTTTTCTTCAGCTTCCTCCTTTTCTAGCCTGGCAATTAGAAGTTCTAGGGTCCTTTTTCTAGTATCCAGCTCTTTGCAAGTTTCTTTTAAAACAGCTATGACATCTGATGTCTTGGACTGGGTCTTCACAGACGATGTCTCAGCTGATGTTATGACAATGTCTGGAGCATGAGATCCCTGAAACAGTTTGTAGTGCAAGCCAAGGGCAGGAGCTCTTTTGCAGACTGTATCTCTTGCCACAAGGATATCAGGGAATTGTGCAAGGATGATT